CAGTGTCTAATTTTTTCCACACCTGCATGCTTTGCACCAGACTATGCCTACCAGACATTCATAAACTCATTCTCCTCCCGTAACAGAGGGCTTATGCAAGAACATACAGCTTCCATTAAAGCCACAGCCCAATTTGTCAATGAGGGGAATCCTGTCAAGAGCTCAATTCATTCCTTTAAGATTTTTTGTTGTTGTTTTTTCCTCTCTCTCTCTATAAGTCCTGTTCCCTGTGGGTTGTAGGGCAGATGAAATTGCCATGTAATGCCCTCCTTTTCTGCCCAGTCTAAAATCAGGGAACCTGTGAAATGTGTTCCTTAATCACTGATAATTTTTCTGAAGTACCGTACATTAATTGCAAGTGTTGCAGACCCTATATAGTCAAGGTCTGGTTTGCTTTTCGACGGGGAAAAGCTTGCAAAAGACCACTCACATTGCCTATGGATGTGAGTGCATATCAGTATCCCTTCTCTTAGAGAGTGGGCCAATATAATCTATTTGCCATGTGTCAATGACTTTCTCTCCTCTTTTTATGTTTTTAGTGGTCATTGGCACTTGCTGGTGATGGGCCTCGCAACAAATAGGACAGTTCTTTATTGTCTTTTCTACTTTTGTTTGGACACTGGTAAGCCAGCTTGTTGGGCTAGTTTCTACGTAGTATGCAGCCTCGTATGACCTCTCTTTCGATATATCCAGTGTGTTGTATCTATCTGTTTTTTCAGAGGTGATCACTGACTAGTCTCAGGCCAGAATATTCTCTTACGTATTTCCATTAGGGGGTGATTGTTTGAGCTGCTACATGGAACACTGTGACTTCAGCCCTTGCTTGCTGTAATTGGTCCCAAATGTCTGCCCATAGTTGTGCTCCCCACAATGCCTTTCATTTATGGACCATTGATCCTTTTTCCACTGCTGGATTCCTTTTGCTAATATTTATATATATTTTTGCCTCGTAATTATGAATGGGATTTGTCTAGCTCAGTGTTGCCTAATCTCTGCCAGATTTTGATATTAATATTGCTTATTTTGAATACATTTTATAGGTTTTAAAAAATGTTCTGGTAATTTTTTAAGTTTGGTATAAATACCTTATGAACTCTTCCAGGTTTGGTTCTTTTTGGATGTTAGTCCTTTGAAAAGTTTATTCATTCTATGGAAATCAATCTGTCCTGATTTTATATCTGTCAGTTTTGATAAATTTGATTACCTAGAAAATTACTCATTTTGTTTAGATTTCCAAACTTTTTTGCATAAAGTAGTAAAACACCTTAGTTTTATGTTTCTTCACATTTTCTGTTTCTGTAGCTATTTCCTCTGTTTCTTATTGTGTATATTTGTGCTCTTCTCTTTTTTTGTTAATTAGTTTAGGTAGTAGTTTCTCTATTTTCTTTTTTGTTTTTTTGTTTTTGTTTTTTTCTGAAGGGGTGGCCTGCCCCTCCACACCTGTGGGCGTTTCTCGTTAGGTGGAATGAGAGACTTGAGAAAAGAAATGAGACACAGAGAGAAAGTATAGAGAAAGAAAAAGTGGGCCCAGGGGACTGGTGCTCAGCATACAGAGGACCTATGCCTGCACTGGTCTTTGAGTTCCCTCAGTATTTGTTGATCATTATCTTTACCATCTTAGAAAAAGGGAAGTGGCAGGATAATAGGATCATCGTAGGGAGAAGGTCAGCAGTAAGACATATGAATAAAGATCTCTGTGACATGAATAAATTTAAGGAAAAGTGCTGTGCCTTGATATGCATATGCAAACATCTCCGTAAACCTTTTTAGTGCATAAAGAGCAGCATTGCACGTCCCACCTTCAGCCCTAAGGCGGTTTTCCTCTTTCTCAGTAAATAGAACATACAATCAGGTTTTACACCGAGATGTTCCATTGTCCAGGGACCGGCAGGAGACAGATGCTTTTCTCTATCTCAACTGCCAAGAGGCCGTCTTTCCTTTTACATTAATCCTCCTCAGCACAGACCCTTCACGGGTGTCAGGCTGGGGGATGATCAGGTCTTTCCCTTCCCACAAGGCCATATTTCAGGCTATCACATGGGGAGAAACCTTGGACAATACCTAGCTTTCCTAGGCAGAGGTCCCTGCGACCTTTGGCAGTGTATGTGTCCCTGGGCACTTGAGATTAAGAGAATGGTGATGTCTTTTCACAAGTATACTGCCTTCAGGCACTTGTTTAACAAAGCACACCCTGCACAGCCCAAAATCCGTTAAACCTTGAGTCACAGTAGGGTCACAGATTGACAGCATCTCAAATACAGAACGAAATGGAGTCTCTTATGTCTACTTCTTTCTATATAGACACAGTAACAGTCTGATCTCTCTTTCTTTTCCCCACATTTTTCTGAGACGGAGTCTCGCTCTGACTCCCAGGCTGGAGTGCAGTGGTGTGATCTCGGCTCGCTGCAAGCTCCACCTCCCAGGTTCACACCATTCTCATGCCTCGGCCTCCTGAGTAGCTGGGACTACAGGTGCCCGCCACCACGCCCGGCTAATTTTGTGTGTGTGTGTGTATTTTTTTTAGTAGAGATGGGGTTTCACTGTGTTAGCCAGGATGGTCTCGATCTCCTGAACTCATGATCCACCCCCCTCAGCCTCCCAAAGTGCTGGGATTACAGGCATGAGCCACTGCGACCGGCCTCTGTTTTCTTAATTGTTTTTAAGATATCAATCTCTTAGATTTATTTACTTAGTTTTCTGTTTTCTAATTCATTAATTTCTTATTTTCTCTTAATTTCTTGTGCATCCCTTTGGTTTATTTTGTTGTCTCTTTCTAACCTTTCAGTTGGATCCTTAATTAATTAGAAAATCTATATTTTATGTGCTTATGGCTATGAATTCCCCTTTGCACACTGCTATAGCTCTTCTCATACTTCTCTTATGTAGTGTTTTGGTTATGTCATTTTTCCAGATATCCTTAAGTGTTTATATTTTCTTCTTGAGTCAATAGTTACTTAGGAGAGAATTAAAAACATTTCAAATGGAGGACTTTTCTCTTTCTGGTTACGTCGTTACTTTTTAGTTTTATTGAATTATATTCAGAGAATGTCTTAACTGGGTTTCATTATAGATGCTGTTACAGATGACACACAGGAAGTTTATAGGTGCTGATCTCAGGATGAACACCTGTGAGAGAGTAAAGGCAGCAGCATTGGGCAGAAGGGAGAAGTTGGGGTGTGATGCAATTACAACAAAAGCTTTGGCTGCTCCCATAGAAGTAACATGGCCCTTCAGAGTTGTCTTGAGGAGGTTAGGACTTTATACTCCCTCAAGAGACCAGTATCTGGTTGCAGCTTACCCTACGGAGGGGCCATGACCTTGGGCCAAGCAGTTCTTTCCAGCTGAGGGCAGTTTCTGGAGAGGGGCTGAGAGTGAGGATTGTCTGAGAAGGCTACTAGCCACAACACTCCCAGCAACTGGAGAAATGCATTCTTCAGTCCTGAAAGGGGATCTGGGAGGCACAGTATGGTATTCAGTACAGGTGAAAATTGGAGATATTCTCTTTCTTGGTCTTCCTTGTACTTAGGGCAAGGGCATGTATTCTGTTTGACTAATCAAATACAGCCTTACTGCAATTTGAATCAATGACAGGTGGTACAAAGAACTAGAAGCAATGGAAAATCTCTCTAGTAGTGGTGGCAGTGGCAAAAATGTCCAGTTTATGGGTCAGCAGTGGCATCAAGCTAGCATAGGTATCCAACATCCAGGGCAGGCAGTGTCAGTGGCACACGCTGTGAGACCCAGTGTTCAGTGACAATAACTTTGGTGGTCAGCTCCTGAGGTGGTTCTATATGTTGTTTTGACTGTGGGCCTCTCAGTCTAGTTCTCCAGCCCTTCCAGCAATTTTTCAACTACCCAACTCTATATTTTAAATCTCTGCTTCTCCCTGTAAATTATTGTATCATACAAAATAGTTGAACATATTTTTACCAAGTTTGAAGAGATATTTTGGATTGTATGACTTACAATTGGGATATATAGCGTATGAAAAAATGTAGTTTTTCAGGGCTCTGGGAGACATTGTAGACACAGAAAACAGCCAATTAAATCAGATATGAACTCCAAATCAAAAATCAAAAAGGCATACGCTTTCATTTCAGATATAGTCTACATATAGATAACTTTATACATAGTCCAGAGTAAATGACAAATACAGAATTTTAAGCATTAAAATGACATTATAGCATGCCAGACAATTCTCAGAAGACTAGCATGAAGATTTGTATAGATATAGATATAGACATAAGTTTCACTTTTTCCACATGGGAATACAGACAAATTATAGGAAATATATACAATATAATCATAAAACATGAATAGGTGCAAAACATCAGAGTGATAAATAACTCTATCCCTCACTCTCATCAGTTTCTGATATGGACTCTACTACATTCAGATTAATTTTTTCAATTGTTTATTCATACTAACATACCATGCTACCTCTTACCCACAAATCTTCCTTGTATGTATTGAATATTGTCATCATTCCTATATAAAACGTACCCATGTTCAGGACCCAGATTAACTGTCATCTTTTTCCTGAAGCTGTATTTGACCTCGTAAGCCCTCACCAATGTCCTCTCTCTTTGACTTCACATTGCAGCTATGATTCGAATCTTTCATTATGTAGTAATTTTATTCTACAGTGTTTTTTATGCACAACAACATGGCTACCTACTCAAGTCCATTCTGGGAGGAGAGCAGTCCTGGGAAAACGCTCCATTTTGTGCTCCCTGTGGTATATTCACATATTTATCTGAGCTGTGTGTGATGTCTTAGTGATACATTCAAATGTTATAGGGACTTAAATAGTTGTCCACATCAATAATATCTTAGGGAGCTCAAATTAATAATAAGATTATGTTACTCCTAGGGTTTGTAGTAAACAGGTTAGTAATAAGTCTAATTAAATATTTAATAACAGCTTTGCAATTATGATGAGAATGAAAATGATATTAAAATATGACTCCTGTTGAACTCCTTTCAGCCTGTATAAATCACTAGGAGAAGATTTTTCTGTAGCTTAGGGTCTTTTTTAAAGTCCCCTTCAGTTCATTGTTTCTTAAACTGTAAATGAATGGATTCAATACAGGCGCTACAACCATAAAAATGACTGATGCAGCTGAGTCTTTTTCAGCAGAGTGATTGGATAAGGGGCTCATGTAGACCCCTGTGATTGCTCCATAGAAAAGAATGACCAAGGCAAGGTGAGATCCACAGGTAGAGAAAGCTTTGAGTTTTCCTTGGGCAGAAGGGACTTTCATCACAGCAGAAACAATGAGGATATAGGATACCAGGATACACACTGAAGGAACCACAAAGATCAGCCCCACCGTAGCCAGAACACTCAACTGATTAAGACTGGTGTCAGAACAGGACAGAGGGAGGAGAGAGTTGATATCACAGAAGAAATGGTGGATAACATTATCAGAGCAGAAGTGCAGATGGGCCATCATAAGAGTGTGCAAGAGAGGGTTCAAAATGGCAATGACCCAAGGTACGGCTACCAGAGAGGCACAGAGGCGCGGGGCCATAATGGTGGAGTAATGTAAAGGGTGACAGATGGCCACATAACGGTCATATGCCATCACGGTGAGAAGAAAATTGTCCATGTTGGCAAACATCATAGAGAAATACATCTGAGCCAGGCAGCCGGGATAGGAGATGGTTTGAGTTTGGGTTTGGATGTTCAGTAGCATCTTGGGGACTGTGGCTGAGGGAAGGCAGAGGTCTACCTAGGACAGATTGGCAACGAAGAAATACATGGGTGTGTGGAGGCAATGATCTGAGCCAATGGCCAGCAAGATGAGTAAGTTTCCAAACAGCCCTGTTAAATAGAGACACAGGAAAAGTACAAAGAGTAGTACCTGCTGTTGTTGCCAACTTGAGAAGCCCAGGAGGAGAAATTCAGAGATATTGGTGTGATTTTTCTTTTCCATTGCTTGAATATATCTGCATGAAGACCCAGAGAATGAAATATTTTTGCCAGTAAAAAAAATATGTCCCTTGTTATTTTTTATATATTCACCTAGTCTAGTAGCACTTACTAAATGTTCTTTCTTTAGGCCATCCTACCTTATCTCTGATGCTCTCTCTCAAACCTCACTGAACCTTTGTCCTACCTCATCAGGTGTCTTTACATCTATCCTCTCTTACTGGAACCTCGCCTTATCCAAGATGTCCATGCAATCTGTATATATCTCCCCTCAGTAAGCAGAGATTCTTTTCCTGCTTGTGATATTGTCACCAACTCTTGCATGTTCTGCCTTATATGTGCCTGTCTGACTGCTGTGTGTTGAAATGCATTAATGAGTCTGACATACTAAATGACTTTATGTCATAAAATGAGATTTAAACAAAGAATTTTTCTGAATATTTTTCCAACACTATATGAACCCCCCTGCTTGAAAACCAGTCAGACACCTACCATTTAGTATTAATAAAATGAAAATAAATGATATTTATTCAAGATTCAAAAGAAAAATATGTTAATCTGCTTGACCGGTATAAAAAGTTAAGCCTTCAAAAGTAGTTTACATGAACTGTGAGCAACATAGGAAAATATTTACAAATAAGTTAAAAAGTTATGTAACACCCGAATTTACATAATACATGTACATAAAACTAAAGAACACAGAGAAAAAGTTATGTCAAACAGGGAGGCAGATTTAAAAGATTCTCTTTTAATATTTTTGTAATATTTTAACTGTAACTACAAAGAAGGGGTTCATGTATATAAAGTATTATTACTTTGAGTCTTGCATTTCTGGGAGTTGCAGAAAACGCAAAGTAATAGAAGACAGAGTTCTTGACCTGAGAATCTTGGAATCAGGTTGTAGAGGAAAAATATTGTCATGGAAAATAATTAAGAAGACATTCATGTACGCAAAGGGGATAGTTTCAGAAGAACAGAGGACTCTGTAACAGGAAGAAAAGATGCTGGAGAATGTGAACTCTGAAGTTAGCCTACATTGAAATCAGACCTCATCACTTGTGGGCTGAGTGATCAAGTCAGACTCTCACCACCATCTCTTATCTAGATAATTGCAATGAATTTCTTTCTTTTTTTTTTTTTCTTTTTTTGAGACAGAGTCTTGTTCTGTCACCCAAGCTGGAGTGCAGTGGTGCAATCTCTGCTTACTGCAACGTTGGCCTTCTGGGTTCAAGTGATTCTCCTGCCTCAGCCTCCCAAGTAGATGGGATTACAGGCACGTGCCACCACACCCAACTAATTTTTGTATTTTTAGTAGAGACGGGGTTTTGCCACATTGACCAGGCTGGTCTGGAACTCCTGGCCTCATGTGATTCTCCTGCCTTAGCCTCCCAAAGTGGTGGGATTACAGGCATAAGACACTTGCCCCACAAATTGCAATGAATTTCTAATTGGTTTTCCTTCCCACAGATTTTTCCCTTACAATCCAGAATTATCCTTCTACAACAAAAATTTCTCCACTTTATTTCTTAAAATGTTCTAATAGTTTTTAATTGCCTTCAAACCAAATTCCAAACCCCTTATCATGGCATACAAGGTTTTTCATGATTCCCTTCATTACAGGTGTGTGCCACCATGCCCGGCTAATTTTTGTATTTTTAATAGAGACAGGATTTCTCCGTGTTGGCCAGGCTGGTCTCAAACTCCTGACATCAGGTGATCCACCTGCCTTGGCCTCCCAAAGTGTTGGGATTACAGGCGTGAGCCACCATGCTTGACCCCATGATCTCTTTTTTACCTCTCTAGCCATCTCTTGCTATGATTTGTAATCCTTAGAATTTTCTGACACACTGAAATTTTATGTCTACATGCTTTTTCTCATTTTGGAATTCTCTGATCACCCTATCTAAAGCTTCCCTCAAGACATTCTTTATAACATTGCCCTGTTTTTATCTTCATATCACTAATCATTATCTGAAAATTTTCTTGTCTTCCCCCACAAATATCTTTTTTAATTTTTAATTTGTAATCGGTAAAATGTAAAGTTCATAAGAACAGAAAATTTATCTTTTAAAAAAATTACTGCATGTGTAGAATAATGTCTGGTGTACAGCAGGTACTCGGTATGTATTTGTTGAATGAATGAATGAATGAATGAATGAATGAATGAATGAATGAATATACTTATTAAAGACTCAGAAAATGTCTTCTGAAATATGTACTCTCAATGTATATTTTATAATAATTTTTATCCTAGGCCATATAGTATATAGTTGTTTTGGCTTTTTTTCATGATTCCTTCTTTCTTGTAGTGTTTTGGAAAGCATGTGTATTGAATCTTATTCATAGTTATGTAGGAAAACCCAGTTTTATGAACAATGATTTATAGTTGCCTATGAAGTCAGACTGATTTTTTGGATAGAATGAGCTGCATGCCAAGGGATGCAAGACAACACCACATGCGATTCTATGATTGGTTCTCTATCCAGCCCCACTGTTACGTGTCTAAGTCAAAGGGTTGGAGAGTCTGGTGGTGAGAACTGAAGGACTCCATTGAATAATAAAGCGTGAAAATAAAAGAATGAAAGAGAGGCATTCTATACACTTCTATGCAAAATGGAGGAAGGTTTTGCCATTTTAGACTCTAATGAATATGGAGCTCATGTGGGAATTTCCTGGGAACTCCCAGAAATAATTAAAGCAGTTTTTCATAGGCTGCAGTACATATCATGGTAGATAAAATAAGAGCCTCCTATTTATACCTGGTCTTCAGGCTGAGCAGTTTCAGGAAACACGAGTTATAGTTGTATCATACCACTTGGCACAACTCCAGCCACATAGTATTAGTTTAATCAATGTTCTTTAACAACTATGGAGATGGCAGGAGACAGGATTTTCACTATGGAATATCAAGGGGACATAGATGAAGAGGAGGACAAACTATGAGTTTTGCAGGAAGCAAAGGAATTAAAATATTAAAAGTTCTTTCTGGAAAGTTTTTTTCTCACTGTGTCCTCCTTTACCTTTACATCTCGTGTTGGGTACTACAGAAATCTCTGCTTTCATCATTTTCCTTAATTTCTATTGAGAGTCCCCAGAAAGTTTTCAAATGAACTTTCTGCCCTTTCCCTGGTGAATGGAGATCTTCTGATCTGGACTGCCCATTACTACTGTTCTGCCAGTGCCTATTTTAATGAAAGAGATGCTGAGGTGTGGGCATTGACCCTCTCAGAGCTGTTTTTGACAGGCAGCCCTTTGTTTCTGGAGCCCAAAGTGCCAATACCTTTTTCCATTCTGCATATAGGTTGTGGAATTCCTCTCTACCTTGACAGTAACCACTTCTAGTGTGTGGATCCTTCACTTCTGCTTAAAAGACAGATTTCCAACAGAAAACAGCTCCTGTAGTCTTCTCCATACTTTCATAAAAGTCTCTGCCCTTTCACTCAGGGGACTTTGAGGGAGATGGGGAATAGCGAAGTAAAATGGGGTTATCTCTTGAACAGTGGAGGCATGGAATTTAAAGGTTTGAGCTATGGTCACTTTATGCTCTGTAGACTGAATAATAGAGGAAACCTGCCTGCAGAAAGGGAAGAATAAGTAGATTTACAGAAAAAGGGAAAAGAGTCACAGAATGCTCCTTCAACTATGACTCGTTGCTTAATATCTTTGACCATCTAAAGAGATTTTCACTTATTTATTTTTCCTCCCACCTTTGCACCTTTGACTTTCTTCTCTACCAAATTGGATTCTTTCTAATCTCAGTTCTGAAGACACAAGTACCTTCTTTTTTGTTCATAGCCTTGGGCCAATTTCATACTCATTGGCATTTCAGGCTTCATTTACTCAGCTTTTTCAACTACAGTTTATTATTTTTTTTCCCATGCCGATTATTAACTCTTATCTTAACTCTTTTGCATGATTAGGTTACAGAACTTATCTAAACATTGAGAATGTATAAAGGACTACTCTGGAAAACAAATATCCTGGAAGAATTAAAAGGCTTTTCAGTAATTTATAGGGCACATTAAAAAGGAGGATAGACACATAGAAATACTTTTGGTGAAGAGTAATGAATATTTATTGATTTCATTAGTGCAGGAAGGTAGTGGCAGTAGTGATGAGAGTAAAGACATTACCCCTCTTTCTCAGTTTTCCATAAAGCAAATATTTTCCCTGTTGGAAACATGATACAACAATTTAAAGTACATGAAATCAGCTGAATAAATTCTATGACTGTATTTTTTACAAAGATATAAAAAAAGGAAAGACAAGAGTTACCACTATCAGGTACTGTATGCTACACTAAATAAATATTTTCAGTTTGTTAATCCTCACAACTCTTATATATATATATATACATATGTACATATATATATATCACATATCTTCATTAGTTTGCTAAAACAGAGTTTTAGCAAAGCAAGAATCTGAATTAAGCCTTCTTGATTTGAAATCTAGCCCACTCTTCACTAAGCCACCACAGCATCTAGGATTTCATACCTTCAGAGAGTTGGCTGCTATTAATCAATTCATTCATTCATCCCATGAATAGTTATTAGGTACCTACTATATTTTAGGCAGTGCCTGTTGACCTTGAGTGAAGCCTAAACTTGTTTAAGAGATGCTTTCTCCTTGTTTCTCCAAACCTGCTCACTTCCCATTATACTTACCAGATGCTCATATCAGGGCTCTCTGACAGGGATGTTAGTTTCCAAGTCTCACCCAGAGGGAATGGAAAATATAAAAAGGGGAGAATGTTGCCCTTCCCCTTGGGATGCACAAGGGTGAGGGATGGAATGATTCTTGGGCAAGGTATGTCTGGTGCAGTGAGAGCTAGAGTGATCAAAGGACTCCCTCACATTAAAATTTATAGCTTCTTTGCAGCTCCTGGGAACTCAATCTTGATAAGCTCCCTCAACTCCAGTAAAAATTACTTTATTCCTTTGTGGCTTCCCCAATTGTGACTGTCAGGATAACGTACCTGGCAAACAATTCCTTGGGAGACTC